CTAACACAAACTCCCTCCCCAACCATCTCCTTCAACATAGTCAGCTTGAGATATATCTTATAAAAATATACACTTATCACTAAGCTGTAAAAGACCTTTTAGTTATAAACAGTTTATAGCTGTGTCAAATAAATGTAGTTTTTGGTGTTCTATACTAGATAACAAATTTGCTTACCAAACTGGACTGGATATGATTTCTGTTATAAATACCCCTTCGCTACCTACGTTCGGGGCTGATCAGCCTTCTGCGAGAGAAGTGGCTGACGGACCTGAACTCAGTAAATGAAAGGCTTTATTCAAATTTCTGTCTGGCTCATCTAGTTTCTATGCAGAATTGACCTGTAACAGTGCCTTTTCCCAGCATCCAGGCAACTTTCGTGAACTCTTCAAGGCTCTGATGCTCTCGCAGTTCATGAAGTTCTGAATGCCTTTGTGGCTCCTAAGGAAGCCCAAGAGTAAGCAGAAACAGCACCCAGGATCTGGAGGCAAATCTATGTATGTCGAGGGACTCGGAATCGCTCCCAGAGGGCCGGGCCCTGCTCTCTGGTCCTCTAGGGCTTATATGAGTTAGGCAAGCAGGAAGTACAGAGGCAGAAGGGCTTGTCAACGGGGGATTGGTTTATACCACACGCACCACAGTGACAGCTGTTTGTAGGAGACGAACAACCGGATGTGGAGCAGGAAGTATTACCTGGGCAACTAAGAGCCCCAAGTGTGCTGGCGGGAGTGGGGGTGGGGCGTTTTGCTGTTACAGGAGTTTCATGGGAAGGGACCAATGAAACTAAAATACTACTGCTAAGATGCCACAGAACTGTGTACATGTTAGACTGTAAAAGTAACGGGAAATGCCAGGTATCCTTGACGGTGAACTAGCATTAATGGAGCCACTGGTCCGTCCGCCTCTGCAATAAATACCTTGGAGGACAGAAACATACGAAGTACGTAGTAAACGAGCCTGCTAGCCAAACTAAGATATAAAATAATCAGAGTGATAATTAATGGCTCAACTTTTCTCTGTGGTTTAGGAGTGAGCATACAGCCCTTAAGAAGATATGAGCACCCGATGATATAAGACATTTC